GGTAGTTTTTATTTTTCACAAACCCGAGGTCTAGATCCGTGTAGAAAGCCACTAGCCAAACCTATAACAAATGGTAAACCCCGGGTTTGGGGCAGTCCTTATTGCACACTCCTGAATACAAGTACAGAAAACTCGATTTCTGAATGAAGGTACAGATAAAATAGAGTTTATCAACATGAGAGAAAAAAGAGATGAGATATATGTACATGTATCCAGTTATATTACCTGTAATTTAAAAATCCAGAAAGATCAATAATCTTTTGAATTGTGATTTTGAAGAGACTGAGTAAATTTTCTCTGCTGGCTTACCTGACGCAAAAAAAAAAAAAAAAAAAAAAAAAAAAAAAATTCAAAGCACCCTGTAAACGAAGAGTTTATATCTTTGAAAAAAATTATCTCAAGCGTAGATTTTTCCGAGAAGAACTTAAATAAACAAGTAAACTGTGAAAGATTAAAGTTCCTATATTTCAATTTTGAAGAGTGCATAAGAGTATCAAAAATAGTCTAAAAAGATTAAGTGAAAGACCTTATAATTCAATGCAATCGTCTAGCTGTCTCTCAATTTGTTGCATTGTTTAACACCTTGACCCAGTTACCTGAAACTGAGTACATTGTTTATATTTTTAAAAGTAATTGGAAAAAAGAAATGTATACAGTCTTGATTATTTTTTCCTTTACACGATTTGTTTGAATGTTTTTTTCTTCTTTTTGATTGTTTCTGGTTTTTGTTGTGTTTTTTTTCTTGGTTGTCTGTTTCTTTGTTTTTATTTTTGTCAAAATTTAGGAAGAACCAACAAGCAAACAAATTAGATTTACATCGAAACCGAAAAAAGTCAGTGCTTCCAATTCTTTCATAATTGTTTACTTGATGCACACTTTGAAACATCTACATGATATCAGATAGGTTGGCTGGTTTGCCATTTATCTGAAAAACATTGCATCTCTATATTCTTCAATGTTTTATTAGTATATTTAGTTTTTTCTTAAAAAGAATTTTACCAAATGATTTTACAAAACCTCATGTATAATTCAGTGACTAGAAGATGCATGTTATATAACAGTGAACATTTACTCTATAATTAAATACTTCATGGAATTTCTGTTTAATTCAATTTTGAAGGGTCTGGTATGAAGGAAAATCTAAATCTCTTTGTTGATTTAAGATTTTAATAATTTTTTACATTCCTTAAAAAAAACTTACTTTATTTGGGTACATCATAAAACATTTACATGTATTTTAATTCAAAAATGCTTTAATATTAGAACATAAATAATTCGTTTAAAGTTTTAAAATGTATGGCTTTTACACTATAAATGAGCTTTCTCTGTCAAGTAGGACCATATTTTCTTGAAACCTCGAAATTCATCTCTTGCTAGCAATGGTAATAATTTTTGACTGTATTTTTTGTTCTGACGTCCATTATGAAATAGATTAAACTATATAACAACCCTTGTTGTGTGCAATGTTAAATAAATAAAGTATTTCAACCACGAGGGTCGTTCAATAAATGCAATAGGTCATCTAAAGGTAAGAAAAGTACATAATATATATATTCTAAACATTTTCAATCCCTCAAAGCATTACCTGTTATACTTTACACATATCTTAAGTCTTTGTACGCATGATCAGAAAACCTCAGCATACTCATCTTTAGGGATGCCCCAAAGACACCGATGAATATTACTTCCCATGACATATCTTATATTGTACAATCTGCCTTTGATTGTTTTCATGCGTTTTTGGAATAAAAAGACCTCACAAAGGATGAGATCTACCGAATATGGGGAATGGCAAAGCTCTGTAAACTTTCTTTTCTTCATAACTTCAGCGTTGCCAGGTGCAAGAAAATTATCCTGGGGGCGGTATTTGGACTTCCTTTACAGGAAATTTGTTTACCTTTCCTCAGTGCAATTTCAAAAGTTACCATTGATGGTCCTTCCTTTGGGTGTATCTACATGTTTTACTGGACCTCTTGAAAACAAATGAAAACTAATGAAACGTGCTTCGAACCCTTGTTTCTCTTTACAATAATAACGATAGCTTTTCTTTGATTCCACATTTTATTTATAATTCAGACGTGACAAAGGAATTAGATAGATTACACGATCAGTATGTACTAGTCCCAGCTGACAATGCTGGTAACAATATAGTCTTTGTTTGTAAGGCTCATTATTTGAATTGTATTTTAGAGGAACTAGGATTTTTTTCTGCAGGTGGAAATCCAACTTACACCCAAAGCTCCCTTTCTAAGGAGGAAATTCTGCAAAATCATATATCCGTTTTAGATATTTTTAATATTCCCAACAATCAAAATAAATCTGAATTACCGTACCTTTACTGGATCCTAAACTTCATAAAAATCCTTAAAAACAAAGACACATGGGTTCCAGTAAATGTTCTACCAAGCCTCTTTCTTTACTCCTCACTAAAATATTTACTGTAACGAAGGAGAAACTTCAGGAGTACTGTACAACAGTATATTCGACAAGTGGTTTAAATCAGATGTGGATACTTAAAACTCCAAGGAACTTTGAAATCACAAAATTTTACTTAAATCAATAACATTAAAACGTAGGACTTTTCAACACTTTATATAACCATTAACCACAATAAACTGAAATCCAGACTTTTTGATATCGTAGACCGCTGCTTTTTCAATAAAAATGGAACTCGTAAATATACTTACCTTGTCACTGGTCATTTGCAAAATTATTTTGTTAAAAAGCATTCTGATTGTACACACAAGTACTCTGAAGTTAATATTAAACAGATGCCTGAGTTTCTGATTGACAATTTCTATGTAGTTTTTGGAGATCAGATCTTCCAACGATCTGTTGGAATTCCCATGGGTACTAATTGCGCCCCGTTATTAGCAGACAAATTCATGTATTCATATGAAGCAGAACTTATTACAAAACTACTACATGAGAAAAAGAAAACACTTGCTGTGGCCTTCAACTCGACATTTAGATATATCGACGACCTATTATCAATTAACAATGGTTACTTCCATTCATATGTCGACTCGATATATCCCAGTGAGCTTGAAATAAATGATACCACAGAGTCTGACACATCTGTTTCATATTTAGATATTTTACTAGAAAAAGGCGTTAATGGTAACCTAACAACAAAGCTTGATGATAAACGTGATGACTCCAATTTTTCAATCGTTAACTTCCCTTACTTATAGCAATATACCCTTATCTCCTGCATATAGAGTTTATGTTTCTCAGTTGATTCGATACGCAAGAGCATGCTCTACGTATGAACAATTTCTAAAACGAGGCAAGCTATTGACAAACAAGTTAATGAAACAAGGATATCAACAGTCTCGTTTAAAGTCATCATTTCGCAAGTTTTATGGTTGATACAATGGCCTTGTCAGCACATTCAACCTATCTTTGAATCAAATGCTGACTGACGTTTTTCATACTAATTGATAGGCCATTATTCATACAATAAACTGTCTACGAGTTTTTCCGTTTTATTTTCCCCGATCATGACAAGGAGCGCACAGCGGATTTGACCAGTCGGCAGTGTTTGCTCTGCTCCAAATTTGTATCGTTTTATTGGACTTTCGAGATTGAATAGTGTTCGTTATCTTCTTATTTCATTATTGATCTTCCTTTTCGGCTATAAAAAGTGCACCCACGTTTTGTCATCCATCACGCAAATTTGACAAATCTTCTATTTTCTTAAAATATTTGTTTTTAAATAGACCATTGGCACATTTAATGCGTGTTTTCTCTTAGTCAATTTTAAGAAAATAAGGCACCTATCTGATAGAAATATTACATTCATTTCCGTTGTCGGAATTCTATAAAATGTGACGATGAAATGCTTAGTGTCTTAGCAATGTCTTTCCATGTACATCTGACATTTTCAGATATCATGCTGCACATAGCATCGATAATTTTTGTTGTCCCTACAAATTTCAATCGACCAGTTTGGCTTTTATATTTTAACTCTCCTTTTTTACTTTTGAATTTCCGAATTAATCTGAAAACTATACAGCGTTAAAGGCTATTCTTTCCTCATATGCAAATCATATCTTTAATATGAGTTCTTCGTAAAAGAAAGAAGCACAGTTTTCACATACACTCTCATTCTCATCTTCTTGGCAGAGATAATTTTAAACAGTTTTCAGCTCAGCGTAGTGACCATGCTTACCTTAAAGGTGAATTTCTTTGCGAGGACAATAGGAAAAATCGTGGAGTTTTCTGTGATTAGGAGCTCTTTAATTGAACGTTTCAACTGTGAAAAGATAAAATCAAATAGATCTCATTTACTATGATGTACTGTTTGTTGCATTAATTTATTGAACGACCCTCGTATTTCATACTATTGGATGGATTTTCATCAGAGAAATTTAAATGTTTATCAGGGCCATGATATAGTATCTGTCTTAGGTTTATCAGCGTCTCTTTAGCAATTTCTTCGAAATACATTCTGTCTCCTACATATCTGCGTCATACAAAAGATAACAGATGATCAAAACTTCCCTATATATTAGTTGAAAAAGGATTTTAAAAAGACTGTCCATTGGCATGGAGAGATATTTTCATTAAAAGAAAAATATCTTGAGAACATGTTGAAAGTTGTGAGGTTGACAATATCAGGTCCTGTCTTTGATGTCATTTCAATGTATATTTTTTCCCTTCTTTTGTTTATAGGGATAACAAATGGACAGTTTTATCCAAAAAGATGCGCTAAAAGGATATTTGGAAACTTTGGAGAGATTGTTTACACAAATATGTCTCTTCCAGATTTCAATAGAACAGACTTTTACTGTTACAAAGTAAACACTGATGATGTTTATTGTGAAATGCAAAAAAATACGGTGTGCGCTTGCTCAACAGTATACAAATGGCAAAAATATCAACTTAACGAGCTAATTCCGGAATACCTATCCCGGATAGGAAACAGTAAAGTTCTAGTTAGTGGCCCAAAAAATAGCGATTTCTTTTATATCTCTGTGACAAAAAGTTTTCTACGAATGCTTCCTGAAAATCTATGCGACTTCCCATTCACAGTATTGATCAATTTTACAAACAACAAAATAGAAACTCTGAAAAATTTTTCATGCGTGAAGAAACTTGCGTTTTTGGACTTGTCGCACAACAGGATTAAGAACATCTGCAAATCATTTTTCCATGGTCTTCCTTTACCTTGGAATGTTAATTTGTCATTCAATCATATTTCTTTCCTCGAACCTGGAACATTTAATGACGAAACTCTCAGTTTAAATAACCTCGACGTTTCACATAATTCAATACTTGTTTTGGATATTTCCAACCTTTTACTTTCTAAAACATTTTGTAACATTTCTTATGCTGACAATAAAATCACTAGTTTCACAAATAAAGCCGAAAAACCAATAAAATATGAAGACAAATTCTCAGATGTAGGATTTCTTGACCTATCATTCAACAACATTCAAAGTATTCCAAATTTTGAAGAATTAAACTTTGGAAAAGGATATGGCTTCCTAGGGAAAGTGGTATTCAATCGTTTCATCTTTCAGGTTATATCAAACCCAATCGTCTGTGACTGCTTTCTGGAAGAAATGTTGTGGAATATCCGAAATGTGAGACACACCTTTAAAACAGACAGCGATTTCTTGGGATATACATGCTCATATCCAGTCAATCTACAAAATGTATCGATCGTGAAAAGCTTCGTTTATAATAATACTTTCGATGAACTCGTTTGTAAGCTTCCTAAATGTCCTCGACAATGCAAGTGTGTCTTTCAATCAAGTCAACTTCGAATCATCATTGACTGCACGGAAATTTTTAATGAAAACGTTCTCCCTACTTTTAATTATACTGACATGGTTCAAAGTGTAAAAGGTCATTCCAAGCTGTCAGAAACAACGGTACATCTTCTATTGTCGGGCAGACAGATTGAAATATTAGATAAAAGGAACTACTTTCTCAACCTCTCCTATTTAGATCTCTCAAATAACAAAGTGGAAACTATAAAAGAATCCACTTTCTTGGAGCTATCACGAGTGCCGAACATAAAACTTAATTTTACTGGTAACCACGGTGTTCTTAAACTCCCCAAAGGACTTCAACTATTAAACCCCAACAGTGTTATTCTTAATAATGTCACAATAGCTTGTGATTGTGAACTAATATCTTGGTTCATGCAATGGCTCAATAGTAGAGAAATAGATTTGAAGAGACTTGGCGTAACGTGCAAAGTAAATTCCTATTTTATTCCCATGCAAAACGTCACAGACTCGGATTTACTCTGCAATCAGGATCAAAACCAGAACTTCAGTCTTGTTTTTGTTATAGGTGGCTTTCTCATTTTTCTCGTCATTATCTTTTTTGTATATTCAAAATATGGCCACTACTATTTTCTTTTTCGAAAATGCCTATCAAAGTCAAAACAATACAGCAATTTCAAGTATGATGTATATATTTCCATAGATGAGGAAAATGACGAAGTTCTGCGTTATGTCGGAACAAAATTTCTTCCGATGATCGAAAACTTAAATCTGAAAACATTTATGTTGGCTAGAGATTCTGAAGTTGGAGGTGTGATGGAAGAATGCATGATTGAAAGTATGAGGATGTCCAGAACATATTTGTTTTTCCTCACAAGTACAGTTTTAACCAAATATGAATCAGTTTTTGTAAGGGAATGGAAACACGCGTGGAACAACTTTATATCAAACAATAAACACGACATCTTCTTCATTAATTTCGATTTGTTAAGATTGAAAGATCTCAATGATAAAAACATGAAAGCGTGCATGATTTTTGGAAAAAGTGTCAACTTTTCTGACTTTGACTTTGAGGACAAAGTCAGAAAATCACTGTAAAGAACAGAAGTTAAGCACCAAAATCCCAAGGTGACATTGACAATGACGTCGATGAGTTTATTCTAAATATAATATCAGGAAAAAATCTTCGCTCCAGAGCAGCAAAGCAATGTTAGTCATATTGCTATTGAATGATTACCATGCTGAGTTGATTCAATTTGGTCAATTCATGTCCTTTTGAAGCGAGGATGGGCCGACATTTTGGGGTCACAGTTTTTTAATAGGAGTAAAGAGGAAAAGAAATATTTTCTTTTTAAATCTTCTGATAAAGAACAGCGAGTTCTAGATTACTCAGGTGAGCATTGTGATCCATGGGCCTCTTGTTTGCGTACTGCTTCATAGAGTTTTATACAAATGTGCATACAAACCCAACAAATCATACATTTCTGTAAATATAGGTAAGTCTGTGTTCCTGTTTTCTAAATATGCTTCTACACATTTGACTTTACATATATTTGGAATAAATGCATTACCTTTTATGTAAAATTTATAGTCTTACTTAATATCTTTTGTAATATTGTACATTAATGATTTTTTTGAGTAAATAAATTGATATTACCCAAAAATAACCTCTCTCTCTCTCTCTCTCTCTGTGTGTGTGTGTGTGTGTGTGTGTGTGTACTATATTTTTTTAGTTCAAGTTATTCGATTGAACTACTGCTATTCAACTTTGTCCATGAGCGTGCGTCGTCAGTCAGTAGGAAGCTAGTTACTTAGTATAACTAATTATGAAGTAACTGAACAATACATATAAGTAAAATAGAAAAAATGTTAATTATATGGTTCCAACCCCTATATAGGTGTGATGGGTTTGTCCAATTATACATTGATGAAAAATGTCTTTTGGAGTTTTAGAAAAAATATATGGCGTAAAGGAGTACATGTTAAAATTATCTAGCTCATTTTAACATAGGGTGCCTGTCATTCTTACTGAAAAGAGCGGCGAGGAGAGTGGGTAATACTACTTTCTAAGGCTGTAAACGATTGATCAGTTGCCCGACTTGAGCCGAAGCTGTTCAATTGTTTGTTATATTGTGTGGCAAGTCATAAGCCAGAGTAGTGACAATTTGTCAGGGAAAATCACAGGTGCCATGCTGAGTTAGGGGCTCAAATAGAACAACCTGTCCTTGGTAATTGTGCATCTATTAAGTCTAATTAGTGATTGAGGAAAAACTGTTTGACGTCATTTTATCATTTCAAGCACAGCGTAAGAACTCATTAACACATTTCCATATAATATTATCATAATGAATTAGTTGAGGCCATAAATTTGTAGTAGAGGCTAGCTGCACTGTATACAGGTGGCTTGTACATGTACCTGAGAGATTATGTGGAAAAACAGAGCACAGGTGACAACCGAAATGTACATATCAAGAGGGATAACTAAGCATTCTAAGCAAACTTTGAACACTTGAAAGTTAGTTATCTCATGTTTTACATTGTGTGTTTAAATAATATCTGCTTTATTCAAAGAGATGAAATGGTGTAATTATTCGCGAGGTTTGATGTTTGATGAATGAATATACATCTTTTTTACAAGTTGGATAAAGCAAGTATAAAATCATAGATTTACAGATGTTGTATTCATCTCGTACGATTTTTTCTTTCATTAAAAATTTGAGATAGAGCATTGAAAATGCTCTCAGACTAATTGCTTTTCTTTCTGTTCGTTTATCGTTTACTTTCGAATAGAATATTTTTAATTTATTATATGGTATTTTTTTATTTTGACAAAGGTATCAATGAATTGTCCCTTTGACAATTTATTTCTGGGTTCTTTTCTCTAATATAATATTCTCTCTATAATTTGAGGATTTATACAAATATTTATTGACACAATTACAAGTACGACTAGATGCGTTTCTTGTTGCTAGGGCAACAAGTGGTCTTCCGACCGAACTTTTCTCCAGAACGCTATGCTATCTCACTTCATTTAATACTTTATTGCAAGTATTTTTCGTTTGCGTTTATGTAACACAGTCTTCAACATAGATCATAATTATTAAAGGATTTCTGTAGAATCTCTGTTAACAAAGCGTTTAAAAATAAGCAAAAACTATCATACATGTCTTCACGGAGTAAAATATTATTTATAACTGAAAAAAAAGAGAAACAATCTCCCGCTCCAGCAGGATTCGAACGCGCAACATACGAGAAAGTTTGGATCGGTCATATCTTTGCAATAAATGCATCAATCAAAATGATGAAAACATACATAGAATTCTTAGAAGACTCTCTATTTACCCTGTAAATTTCAAAGAAAAATATTGAAAAACAAAAAAGTTGCAAATTTAACATTTTTGAATTCACTTCCGTTCGCGACCGGAAGTATAAACGACGAAAAATAAAGGTCGATCAGCATATCTATATGTGATGCTCTATCATGTCCGTGAGTTTCACTTTCATATCTTTAGCCGTTCTCGAGAAAATTAGGGGACAAAATTCCATTTAAAAAATACAAATTTCCCCAAAAATCGCGAACGGAAGTGAATTTTAAAAAAGTGAGGGACACCCCTGGAGATATTTTCATGATGCATCTTTCCTGAGAAAATCTTTGAAATCCGTCCACTCATAACTGAGATATCGCCCTAACTATGAAAAAAAGAATAATAATAATAACTAGATGCGTTTCTTGTTGCTAGGACAACAAGTGGTCTTCCGACCGAACTTTTCTCCAAAACGCTATGCTATCTCACTTCATTTAATACTTTATTGAAGGTATTTTTCGTTTACGTTTATGTAACACAGTCTTTCAACATAGATCATAATTATTAAAGGATTTCTGCAGAATCTCTCTTAACAAAGCTTTAAAAAATAAGCAAAAACTATCATACATGTCTTCACGGAGAAAAATATTATTTTCAACTGAAAAAAGAGAGAAACAATCTCCCGTCCAAGCAGGATTCGAACGCGCAACATACGAGAAAGTTTGGATCGGTCATATCTTTGCAATAAATGCATCAATCAAAATGATGAAAACATACATAGAATTCTTGGAAGACTTTCTATTAACCCTGTAAATACATGTATCAAAGAAAAATATTGAAAAACAAAAAAGTTGCAAATTTAACATTTTTGAATTCACTTCCGTTCGCGACCGGAAGTCCGAACGACGAAAAATAAAGGTCGATCACCATATCTCCATTTAATGTTCTATCACGTCAGTGAGTTTCAATTTCATATCTTTAGCCGTTCTCGAGAAAATTAACGGACAAAATTCCATTTTAAAAAAACAAATTTCCCAAAAAATTGCGAACGGAAGTGATTTTTCAAAAAATGAAAAACACGTCTGGAGATATTCTCACGATGCATCTTCCCTGAAAAAATCTTTGAAATCCGTCCACTCACAGCTGAGATATCGGCCGTACTATGAAAAAAGAATAATAATAACTAGATGCGTTTCTTGTTGCTAGGGCAACAAGTGGTCTTCCGACCGAACTTTTCTCCAGAACACTATGCTATCTCACTTCATTCAATACTTTATTGAAGGTATTTTTCGTTTGCGTTTATGTAACACAGTCTTTCAACATAGATCATAATTATTAAAGGATTTCTGCAGAATCTCTCTTAACAAAGCTTTAAAAGATAAGCAAAAACCATCATACATGTCTTCACGGTGAAAAATATTATTTACAACTGAAAAAAGAGAGAAACAATCTCCCGCCCAAGCAGGATTCTTACCCGCAACATACGAGAAAGTTTGGACCGGTCATATCTTTGCAATAAATGCATCAATCAAAATGATGAAAACATATATAGAATTCTTAGAAGACTCTCTATTAACCCTGTAAATTTCAAAGAAAAATATTGAAAAACAAAAAAGTTGCAAATTTAACATTTTTGAATTCACTTCCGTTCGCGACCGGAAGTACGAACGACGAAAAATAAAGGTCGATCACCATATCTCCATTTGATGCTCTATCACATCAGAGAGTTTCAATTTCATATCTTTAGCCGTTCTCGAGAAAATTAACGGACAAAATTCCATTTAAAAAATACAATTTTCCCCAAAAATCGCGAACGGAAGTGAATTTCAAAAAAGTGAGTGACACCCTTTGAGATATATTCATGATGCATCGTCCCTGCAAAAATCTTTCAAATTGAACCACGCATAGCTGAGATATGGCGTGTACTATGAAAAAAAGAATAATAATAACTAGATGCGTGCTTGTTGCTAAGGCAACAAGAGGTCTTTCGACCGATTCTTCGCTGAAAAAAAATATGCTGCAATATTTCATTGGAAACATACCTTAATGTCAAATTTTCTTATGTATTCAAGTACTACAAGTTTTCAAGAATAAACCATCATTATAACAAGTTTTTTCAATAAAGTTCGTAAAAACAAACCTTTAAAACGTCGGTGAAAAGTACGAAAAATAAACATCATTTTAATTGAAAAAAGAGAGAGGAAACAAAAAAAAAATTGCCTCCAGTTTGAATCAGCCATATCATGTCATCAGAGAAGTTGACACCTTTCTCAAAAGGTAACAGTTTTACTTTATGTATTCCTGGTATCTGTAGCTGTATTCCTATAGGAAATGTAATAAAATGTTATAATATATATATAATACAGTGCTCCCGTTTTATCCAATAGTCAAGTTGTCAGTCTAATTTTATCCCAATAGCCGATTGCTCCATACCTAGTCCAAAGATAGATGTATAGAGCGACATGTATTGATAATACATCGTAGAAAATTTCAAACTTGCACTTTAGTTTTCGTTTGATTAGTTTACTAGTGAATTTCCTAAAATAAATTATTTCACTTACTTATGAATTTAATATGATAACATTTTTCAAATAAATTGATGCATAAAATATATTCTTTGATAGTTATTGCCATCTTAATTCAGCACATGTTTACATTCCTTCTTCGATGGTCGCCATTTTGGAAACGGAAGTAGACTAAATGCTTGACTAATAACCATAAAATATTTTCCTCTGAATAGATTGTAAATTAAAAATAAAAAAAAATATATATAAAATATTTTTTATTAATGTA